GCGTCCCTTTACCTGAAGTTCCAAGTAAAACAACTACGTCCTGCTACCAAGGAGATTTCCCAGTATGCGAACTACTTTTGCAAGGTTTGTGTGGCTTTAGTTCAAGGGTTCCAAACTTTTTCAGACAATGGACCCCTTCTGAGCTAGATGAAGTTCTGAATCTTTTAAAAAAGTTGAAAATCCACATCATAAAATTACAAAGGAATTAAAACTCAAAGTCAAGGTCTTCTGGCGGCTCTCGTGGACCCGAAGGGAGCAGTGGAGCACCGCTTAAGAGCCCCTGTTTAGATTAATGCTCAAGGATGTCATTTAAGATACTATTAAATTTGCTGTCATTCCTTTTTCCAGACAGTCATCTATGTTTGCGATTAATAACGTCAGTATATTTGTAATGGGTATGGCGCAACGGAGAGGCACCCCATTTCACTTGATGCAGAAATAAAATAAGAAATTAATTGTCAAAGATTGTCATCACGAAGATGTTATTTCTTCACAAAGTAAACTGGAATACGACTAGTGCTTTGAAATATCATCAGCATTAGCTTTGTCGTAATTAACTTTTTAGCTATCTTATCCAGACATGTCGTTGTCATCATAACAGATGCAAACAATTGTACCTAGGATTAGTGCTGAATGACATTAAAAAAAAAATACTTTAAAAATTATTTTTGTCTCCTCTCTTCTTTATATTTCTCCCCGAGTAGCCACTTATTACTTCACGCTGTACGGTACCTACCTGTCCTACGTCATCGGGATACCTGGCAGTTTCCTGACATGTGTTGTTCTCACACGCATGCGACCTTTCACCTCTTCACTCGTCTGGTTCACGGCCATCAATCTGACAGGTAGTTCAAGTCTTATACATTAAATATCGGTGTGTGGTCAGAAAGTGGTTCGAATGTAATCAGGGTGAAGACAGAGTTTAGTCAGAGGGTAGTCAGAATGGTGAAGTCACGCTAGTTCGATCAAATTAAATAATATTTAAATTTTAAAATGAAAATTCAAATAATAAAAATGCACATCTTACACACATCTTACACACATCTTACAGAATCTTACACACATCTTACACAATCTTGCACACATCTTGCACACATCTTACAAACATCTTACACACATCTTACACACACAAAACTTCAAATTTGTGAAATCTCAAGTGACCCCGGACATTTTATCAGGAGACCTGAGAGCAGGGTTATGACCCACAGATTGAGAACCACTGCCATAACCCATTCACATAATAAAAGAATTGAACGTGGAGCGTAGGTTTCCTGTATGAGTTAGTGCAGGTCCCTGGTTAGTGGCACTTTTCACCTTTCTTCTACCAACCTTACGCATATTTAAAAAAAAAATGTTTATATCATCATCATGGCGATACCATCCTAATCTTGATACCATCCTAGCCATTATACCATCCTAATCTTGATACCATCCTAATCTTGATACCATGCTAGCCATTATACCATCCTAATCTTGATACCATCCTAGCCATTATACCATCCTAATCTTGATACCATCCTAGCCATTATACCATCCTAATCTTGATACCATCCTAGCCATTATACCATCCTAGCCGTGATACCATCCTAGCCATTATACAATCCTAATCTTGATACCATCCTAGCCATTATCCCATCCTAGCCGTGATATCATCCTAGCCATTATACCATCCTAGCCGTGATACCATCCTAGCCTTCATTTAGTTAAGCAGCTAGACTTGTTAAATGAGTTTTAAATGTCATTACTATTATTGAATTCTATGAAAGAATATAGAAATGTTCCACACAGAACAAAACACCCCCACATCAACTTTGGCTACTAAATATCCTCCAGCCGTCAGCATGTCACAGGAAATGTTAATTGGAAGTAGAAGGTACCATGATCCTAAACAAAGAGATGCATCTTGCTAAGACAAATAATGATACGATATTCGCTACCATTACATTATTATTTTCAGAGTTCTCCAGTCTTATTTAGCTTATCTTTAGTTTAGCACCGATCGCTAGTCAGTTTTCTGCTATTATTTTTGTGTACTCAGTTGAATGACGAAAAATTATGTTTAAACGATGTACTGGTTCCATGCAACATTGCCTTTCTCCAGCATGGGGTGGAACACATAGAGCGAGGAAAGCGGACTCTCATTTCTTTAATCCCAGACCGATTCCGATTTTGGCCGGGTGTCGGGTGTGTTAATCCTCAGAATTTCAGTGTCCAGGTCAGTGTCCGGGTCAGCGTCCGGGTCAGTGTCCGGGTCAGTGCCCGTGTCAGTACCCGGCTCAGCCCTAATTTAAACACACGTTCAATTGCGGATAGTTATTTCTATCTGCTAACAAATTTTAACGCTATATTTCTAATTGTTTTTGTCTTATTCCCAGGGCTCTTCAACCTCTCTTTGCGATTCGGTTACAGCCTGTTACTGAGCATTACTCACATGGAAGACTGGAGCTGCAAGTTTTTGTACTTGATGGCCCCGATATCTGAGCTCTCCACCCATTTGTTTCTAGTGGGTCTGACCGTGGAGAGGTTCATCGCGGTTTGGTTTCCACTGACAATGGCCGTCTGGTGTTCCATACGACGTTCAGGTATTATGTTTTTAAAGAGTAAGCCCAAAAGTGGCTAAACATTACAGTGTAACGTACGTGCGGTAATTTAATAACATTTCAAGACTGTCACAATTTTATCAAATCTACTTTTTGATTAAAAGCTAGATTTACTTAATGGAATAATTTTAATATGATCATAATTTCCAAAACAGTCAAAGCAACAAGCAATTTAAGAGCAATACAGAGATGTTTCTTTTCCTCAATGTTTGGCTCCTTGGCCCATGCCTAAATTCGGAATATATGGAACATTTCTGGAATATATGGAATGTATCTGGAATAATTGGAACATGTCTGGAGTATATGAAACATAGATGGAATATATGGAACATATCTGGAATATCTGAAAAATATCTGGAATATGTGGAACATATCTGGAATATCTGAAACATATCTGGAATATGTGGAACATATCTGGAATATATGGAACATATATGGAATATATACATTACACTCATCTTTCTTGGCGTAATGCAGTTTAAGAAGTATTACTATATATTTTTTTTTGTAAGCGTTTAAACTTGTCTCTGACAAAAGTTTTTTTTAAATTATTTTCTTAAAATAATTTTTTATTTAATGTATGATGGCGCTTGCGACAAAATCATGTCATTCATAAAAATACCAACTCTATTTACTTTTTAAAATGTTCTACTCATGGTTCCACAAATGGTTCTCCGAATGTTCTACTTATTGTTTTACCAATATTTTATTTGACTCCAGTTTGTGCTATCGTCATCATTATCATCATCTGTGCTGGCCAGTCCCTCTACGTCATCGAGGTGTACAGACTTAACGGTGTAGCTGTGTGCGTTTTGAGGGCAAAGTATAAAGACTTCTGGGAGGGGTAAGTCATCGGGATTTATGCAGACTTCTGGGAAGGGTAAGTCATTGGGATTTATATAGACTTCAAGGGGGTTAAGTCATCGGGATTTATATAGACTTCTGGGAGGGGCAGTCATCGGGATTTATATAGACTTCTGGGAGGGGTAAGTCAATGGGATTTATATAGACTTCTGGGAGGGGTAAGTCATCGGGATTTATATAGACTTCTGGGAGGGGTAAGTCATCGGGATTTATATAGACTTGTGGGAGGGGTAAGTCATAGGGATTTATGCAGACTTCTGGGGGGGGGAAGTCATCGGGATTTATATAGACTTCTGGGAGGGGTAAGTCATCGGGATTTATATTGACTTCTGGGGGGGGTAAGTCATCGGGATTTATATAGACTTGTGGGAGGGGTAAGTCATAGGGATTTATGCAGACTTCTGGGGGGGGGAAGTCATCGGGATTTATATAGACTTCTGGGAGGGGTAAGTCATCGGAATTTATACAGATTTCTGGGTGGGGGGTTAAGCCATCGGGATTTATGCAGACTTCTGGGAAGGGTAAGTCATCGGAATTTATACAGATTTCTGGGTGGNGGGGGGGGGGGTAAAGTCATCGGGATTCTCATCGATGTTTCTTTTTATTAAACTCGAGTAACATCCCGCAGCAAGGATACCCATTAGTTTTACAGAGGCATGTAGACTTTCTAGTAACTCAAACAAGTACAAGGCTTACATAAAAGAACATGTTTAATATTGAAACAACCAATATTGCATTATCGGGACTTAAAATGCAGTACAGGAACTGTTGCTTCCTATTACACATCAAAGAGCCTATCACTGCTTGTTTAGATCAGGGTTTGGGGGGGGGGTGGCAAGCTTTTTTGTGTAATGATATATAATTTTATACATAATATATCCTAATAAAAAAGTTTGGAGAGCCTCATTTCATTAAGGATAAGTGAACACATTAAATAAAACTAGCCGCATCCATTCCTTCAAAGAGCCGCGTGCTGCCCCGATTCATCGCCATAACCTCATTTAAAAAGACCGATGAACTTCATGGTCAAATGAGGCGTAAAGAGATGTGCACATCAAGTAGGGCATCAATGGACAGCTTTAAAATTAAATTAATCTCTGTTGGGATTGGTCAAGGGCAAAGATATTAAGAAATAAATTTAGAGAAACTATATTTTCTAATCAAAAATCAATAAAGTTGTCTTCAATAAAATTCTTAAACACATAGAATGCACATTTATTTTTAATGCGATGTAAAATTTTACAAAGATTTCTATAATATAACTCGATTTTTGCTAAAGTTTTCCGTGAAATATGATATTTGTTCTAAATTCATGTGACATCATATTAAAAAAAAAAATTATTTTATCTTCATGTGTTATATTTCTATAACATTTGTTCTATGTTCATGTGTCAGATTTGTATAACATCTATCATTTCCAGCATTTATGAAAATATCGTCTACACAACAGAGTTTATTTTGGCTCCCATCCTGGTTATAATTGTGCTCAACTTCTTGATCGCAAACCGACTGAAACGAGCCAAACTGATACAACAACTCAATTTGACAGACGCTCAGAGTACGGAGAAAAGAAGGCAGCAATCACAGGTGAGACTTTTAGTGAGGATGCATCAATTACAGGTGAAACTTTTAGTGAGGATGCATCAATTACAGGTGAGACTATTAGTGAGGGTACATTACAGGTGAGACTTTTAGTGAGGATGCATCAATTACAGGTGAGACTATTAGTGAGGGTACATTACAGGTGAGACTTTCAGTGAGGATGCATCAATTACAGGTGAGAGTTTTAGTTAGGATGCATCAATTACAGGTGAGACTATTAGTGCGGATGCATCAATTACAAGTGAGACTTTTCATGAGAATGCATTACTGGTGAGACTTTTAGTGATGATGCATCGATTACAGGTGAGACTTTTAGTAATATGCATCAATTACAGGTGAGACTTTTAGTAATATGCATCAATTACAGGTGAGACTATTAGAGAGGGTGCATCAATTATAGGTGAGACTATTAGTGAGGATGCATCAAATACAGGTGAGACTTTTAGTGATGATGCATCAATTACAGGTGAGACTATTAGTGAGGATGCGTCAATTACAGGTGAGACTTTTAGTGAGGATGCATCAATTACAGGTAAGAATTTTAGTGAGGATGCATCAATTACAGGTGAGACTATAAGTGAGGAAGCATCAATTACAGGTGAGACTATTAGTGAGGATGCATCAATTACAGGTGAGACTTTTAGTGAGGATGCATCAATTACAGGTGAGACTATTAGTGAGGGTACATTACAGGTGAGACTTTTAGTGAGGATGCATCAATTACAGGTGAGACTTTTAGTTAGGAAGCATCAAATACAGGTGAGACTTTTAGTGAGGATGCATCAATTACAGGTGAGACTATTAGTGAGGGTGCATCAATTATAGGTGAGACTATTAGTGAGGATGCATCAATTACAGGTGAGACTTTTAGTGAGGCTGCGTCAATTACAGGTGAGACTATTTGTGAGGATGTATCAATTACAGGTGAGACTTTTAGTAAGGATGCATCAATTACAGGTAAGACTTTTAGTGAGGATGCATCAATTACAGGTGAGACTATTAGTGAGGATGCATCAATTACAGGTGATACTTTTAGTGAGAATGCATCAATTACAGGTGAGACTATTAGTGAGGAAGCATCAATTACAGGTGAGACTTTTAGTGAGGGTGCATCAATTACAGGTGAGACTTTTAGTGAGGATGCATCAATTACAGGTGAGACTTTTAGTGAGGATGCATCAATTACAGGTGAGACTTTTAGTGAGGATGCATCAATTACAGGTGAGACTATTAGTGAGGATGCATCAATTACAGGTGAGACTATTAGTGACGAAGCATCAATTACAGGTGAGACTATTAGTGAGGAAGCATCAATTACAGATGAGACTTTTAGTGAGGATGCATCAATTACAGGTGAGACTATTAGTGAGGATGCATCAATTACAGGTGAGACTTTTAGTGAGGGTGCATCAATTACAGGTGAGACTTTTAGTGAGGATGCATCAATTACAGGTGAGACTTTTAGTGAGGATGCATCAATTACAGGTGAGACTATTAGTGAGGGTACATTACAGGTGAGACTTTTAGTGAGGATGCATCAATTACAGGTGAGAATTTTAGTGAAGGTACATTACAGGTGAGACTTTTAGTGAGGATGCATCAATTACAGGTGATAGTTTTAGTTAGGATGCATCAATTACAGGTGAGACTATTAGTGCGGATGCATCAATTACAAGTGAGACTTTTCATGAGAATGCATTACTGGTGAGACTTTTAGTGATGATGCATCAATTACAGGTGAGACTTTTAGTAATATGCATCAATTACAGGTGACACTTTTAGCAATAAAAATCAATTACAGGTGAGACTTTTAGAAATATGCATCAATTGCAGGTGAGACTATTAGTGAGGGTGCATCAATTATAGGTGAGACTATTAGTGAGGATGCATCAATTATAGGTGAGACTTTTAGTGAGGGTGCATCAATTACAGGTGAGACTATTAGTGAGGACACATCAATTACAGGTGAGACTTTTAGTGAGGATGCATCAATTACAGGTGAGACTATTAGTGAGGATGCATCAATTACAGGTGAGACTTTTAGTGAGGGTACATCAATTACAGGTGAGACTTTTAGTGAGGAAACATCAATTACAGGTGAGACTATTAGTGAGGATGCATCAATTACAGGTGAGACTATTAGTGAGGGTACATTACAGGTGAGACTTTTAGTGAGGATGCATCAATTACAGGTGAGACTTTTAGTGAGGAAGCATCAATTACAGGTGAGACTTTTAGTGAGGATGCATCAATTACAGGTGAGACTTTTAGTGAGGGTGCATCAATTACAGGTGAGACTTTTAGTGAGGATGCATCAATTACAGGTGAGACTATTGGTGAGGATGCATCAATTACAGGTGAGACTTTCAGTGAGGATGCATCAATTACAGGTGAGACTATTAGTGAGGAGGCATCAATTACAGGTGAGACTTTTAGTGAGGATGCATCAATTACAGGTGAGACTATTAGTGAGGGTACATTACAGGTGAGACTTTTAGTAAGGATGCATCAATTACAGGTGAGACTTTTAGTTAGGAAGCATCAATTACAGGTGAGACTTTTAGTGAGGATGCATCAATTACAGGTGAGACTATTAGTGAGGATGCATCAATTACAGGTGAGACTATTAGTGCGGATGCATCAATTACAGGTGAGACTTTTCATGAGAATGCATTACTGGTGAGACTTTTTAGTGATGATGCATCAATTACAGGTGAGACTATTGGTGAGGGAGGATGCATCAATTACAGGTGAGACTATTAGTGCGGATGCCTAAATTACAGGTGAGACTTTTAGTAATATGCATCAATTACAGTGAGACTTTTAGAAATATGCATCAATTACAAGTGAGACTTTTAGTAATATGCATCAATTACAGGTGAGACTTTAGAAAGGATGTATCAGTGGAGTCTAGATATTATGTCTACTGTTACTTCGTACACTTGTTGTGGATTATGTAACACACTTGCACAATTAAACTCTGGTACTCCAGGCTGAGCTAACAGCCATTCATCACAAATGCCCCGAGTATTAGATATCCAATAACGGACGCCTTTATCATCCTAAAATCACATGCCCAAATCCGTTCAATCAAAAATCTCTAATAACACTTTCGAAGTACTACAAACCTATAATAAAATCCTTATTATCAACAGGCACATATAATCCTTTGGATGTTATCCCTTATCTCTCACTACACAATGCATCCATCACACCACACGTCTCTCTCCTGACACACTCTATAAACACCCTCCCGCTCATCATAAATGACAATCTCACACTTTATTCAAATGAACACGCCCTCCTTCTGGTCAAGAGAACGTACACTAACTTCACGCATAACAACAGTGATTCTCACACCCTTTTGACAGCATCAATCACAAGTGTGACGAGCTGGAACAACACTGTTCACTGTAGTCACACATAAACGCAAATGCAACTCCCAACGCTACCAACGGTCACTCCAGCTACCCCTCCCCCGCCCCGTGTGTTGACAAGGTACCCTTGCAGGTGTTCTTTTAACATTATTTACAGTCTTATCCAACCATCTCCTTAAGGCCCCCCTGGATGACACGTCTTGATTTATATAAATCATGCTAAATAATTTGTTTCGTTCCAAACCACACACCGCTCCCCTCCCCGTCGTCACACAAACGCTGACCAAACCCTTTTATTTCTTTTAAATTGTCCACGCTTATTTTCTTTTTAATATGGCTACTATGAGGGAGAATTCGTTCAACGATCAAGATTTTAATTTTTTAAACAGAGTATTTGGTCAAACAGAAGACAGTGATTTTGCATTGATGTTTGTCATCGTAAGCATGACGTCAAGGGATATTGCTACACAAAACATTTGGAAGAGCCCATGACAAATGATTGTATTTAAGATGTATTTCCTTTCAGATAAACAGGATGCTGATGGCTGCTTCTATTTCCTCCATAATTTTTCTTGCACCAGTCGTCCTGTTTAGTTACAGTCATTATCCGTTATTATCCAGTAACATGGATGGATACACCTTAAGTTTGGCTCTCACCATCATGGACAATGTATCCGGCGTTTTCAAAGTGTACAAGTACGCGGCCAACTTTATTGTCTACTCTTTGGCTGCGCGGAGATTTAGGTAAGCAATAGTTGACATAGCTGATGGCTGCGCGGAGATTTAGGTAAGCAATAGTTGACATATCTGTTGGCTGCGCCGAGATTTAGGTAAGCAATAGTTGACATAGATGTTGGCTGTGCGGAGATTTAGGTAAGCAATAATTGACTTAGATGTTGGCTGTGCGGAGATTTAGGTAAGCAATAGTTGACTTAGATGTTGGCTGTGCGGAGATTTAAGTAAGCAATAGTTGACATAGATGTTGGCTGCGCGGAGATTTAGGTAAGCAATAGTTGACATAGCTGTTTGATGCTCAGAGACATAGGTAAGCAGTAGTTATAATAGCTGTGCTGAAACGTGCATTTAAAGAACTACCTTTATACTTATGTATTGATTGTAAAATCTTCTAGTTGTTGTTAACCGCTATGACAAAATTGCTCGAAATGGTAAAAGCCATATCAGAGAAGAAGTAAACCATATCAAAGATAGAGAAAACTATAATCAAAGAAGGAAAAAGCTATATCAAACCTTCAGACAGCTTGATCAAATGTTAAGAAAACTATGTGAAACCTTCAGACAGATTGATCAAATGTTTAGAAAACTATGTGAAACCTTCAGACCGATTGATCAAATGTTAAGAAAACTATGTGAAACCTTCAGACAGCTTGATCAAACGTTGAGAAAACTATTTGAAACCTTCAGACAGCTTGATCAAATGTTAAGAAAACTATGTGAAACCTTCAGACAGCTTGATCAAATGTTAAGAAAAATATGTGAAACCTTCAGACAGATTGATCAAATGTTAAGAAAACTATGTGAAACCTTCAGACAGATTGATCAAATGTTAAGAAAACTATGTGAAACCTTCAGACAGATTGATCAAATGTTAAGAAAACTATGTGAAACCTTCAGACAGATTGATCAAATGTTAAGAAAACTATGTGAAACCTTCAGACAGATTGATCAAATGTTAAGAAAACTATGTGAAACCTTCAGACAGATTGATCAAATGTTAAGAAAACTATGTGAAACCTTCAGAAAACTAAATCAAAGCGGCAGAGAACTTTCTTGTGATGGATATGGCCAAAATTTTCACTGGTCGTCTGTAATATGAGGCAGTAATTTTCCTTGTCATCAATAATGTAGGACGGAGATGTTCTTTTCTTTAGACTTAAATAAAGCTATTTTCAAATACGTTTATTTTCACTTCCTTAAGCACGAATTACTGTATAACTTGAAGAACGTTTCGAGAGGGCCTATGGCAGGTATCTTAATGCTATGTGAAGAAATGACTTTAATTAGAAACATGTGTTTGCGAGGGCCAATGGCATGTCTTTTTATGTTAGGTGAAAGAATGTGAAAGAATGACTGTATATTTAGAAGCACGTGTTGGGGGAGAGGGCAATGGCATAATTTTTTATGTTATCTGAAGAGCGGAGCCAATCATTAGAGACAGGAGAAGGCCACTGTCTTTGTGTCATCATTTGTTCTTGCTAAAATTTATTGTCTCCTGTAATCTCGTCAACAGGATGGAACTCGTGATGTTGTTGACATGTGGCAGGTGTTTTAGAGGCGCAACGCGATCAAGCATACAGACCAACCAAAGGCAAAAGAACTGAAGGAGTGTGTCCATGAGTTCAGTGTGTCTATGACCGAAGTGTGTCTATGAGTGCAGTGTGTCTATCAGTGCAGTGTGTCAATAGAGTTAACCTTTTTCTCTGTTTATGTTATGTTCGACTACTTACTGGTCTTATATTTCGTGGAGTGTTGATTTTTGAAATAATCATCTTAACAGATTTATTTGGTGTCAAAAAAATCTTTTAAATTAAAAATGTCTTTAAATATCTCTTAAGTGATTTTGATTATGTTTCATTTCTCTCAAAGATTGAGGCAAACTGATCCATGATTTAGGAAATGAGCAGAACAAATTAGGCTCAAAACTGAAACTAAAAAAAAGAAACGAAACAAAAAAAAAACGAACGTGTCGGCAGGAAGCCTTCGTTGGGGAACAAATAACAGAAAAAACAGAATTAAAATTTTAAAAAAGCTTTTAGCTGAGAAATAGTATCCGAGAGGGCAGCAAAGGAGCGCTCCGTAGGACGTCTTTTGTCTCCATCCACACTGGGTTCTCCCCATAGGGAAAGTCATGAAGTACGCAGGTTCCTTAAGGAGATATGTATTGAAATCAGATCTATAAGATTGGAAATCAACAGGAGAGATGCTAGCGGAAATTTAGATATGACCCTTGAACTGGCAATGATGAATTAAATAAGTTGTTACTAAATAAATATGTTGTTTTATCATTTAAATTTTAGATTTTAGATACTAATTTGAATAAAATAAGAATAACCTATTTCCGGAAAAATGAAGGTACGCTGTACCGGTGCATACTGTCACAAACAACAATGGCCGTCTGCCTTGTTTCATAATTCCCTAAACTTTATGGATGTAACTTTATCAGTAATAAAACAATTCAAAACCTGATCATCTAAGCATACCCTCGCGCATGCGTGGACAAAATACGGAAGTAGAATAGCCGACCTATGAGATTGCAGGGCTTGCTCAACTCTTCGATATACGATGTCGCTGTCCTCCCTTGGTCGCCACTTATGAACACAATCTAAGATAAAATACACCACGACTTATCTCCCACACTGACTCTTCTTCTTAGCATCTACTAATTACAGTTACAAAAATATGACCTCTGACCTCGCTCTCAAACTTTCCCTCTCACTTCTAGGTTTTAACCACCCTTTAAAAAAAATCCTCAAAATCTATCTATCCCTCTATCCATCTATCCATCTATCCATCTATCCATCTATCCATCCATCCATCTATCCATCTATCCATCTATCCATCCATCCATCCATCCATCTATCCATCCATCCATCCATCCATCCATCCATATATCCATCTATCCATCTATCCATCTATCCATCCCTCCCTCCATCCATTCATCCATCTATCCATCCATCCATCTATCCATCCATCCATCTATCCATCCTTCCATCCCTCCCTCCATCCATCCAACCATCTATCCATCCATCCATCTGTCCATCCATCCATCTATCCATCCATTCATCCATCTTACACATTTGGAGTAACGTCTAGTTTCCAGTAGAGACCGACCGAAAGTGATTTTCTGATTTGCGCCGAAACCGAAACTAGACCAAAAGTTAAAAAATGACTTTCAGCCTAATCCGAAACTGAAAGCTTAAAGGGACTTTCGGCCGAAACCGAAGCCGAAACTAATATATTTTGAAATTCGTTCATGCATTCGTACTTTCAAAATCTTCTTCTTCTTCTTCCTATGCCTTTTTACTCGGTCTGGGGCATAGGCCATCCACAAGAATTCTCCATTCATCACGGTCCTAGGCCTTCCTTTTCCAGTTGTTTCTAGGTGTATCCAATATTTTGCGTGTCTGCTTCTAGCTCGTGTCTCCGTGTATTATTTGGCCTTCCTCTCTTTCTTTTTCCCTGTGGGTTCCATCTTAGGAATTGTTTGGTGGTGCTATCTGGGGGTTTTCGGAGAGTATTTTTTATCGTTCTCCATCTTTTATTTTAAGGTTTCTTCGTCAATGGGCACCCGGCGAGTCTTTTCTACTAGATCTTTGTTGGTGATAGTTTTTGGCAATTTGATTTTCAGGATCTTTCTAAAGAATGTGTTTATGAAGGTCTGTACTTTCTGCGTAAGGCTCGCCATTTTCTTCCAAGTTTCTGATCAATATAGTAGCATTGTCTTTCAAAATAGGGTTAGTCAAAAAGACCTTTACTACTATAAAAAGTCCAAATTCTTTCTACCTACAATAGCATCTTCCTTCGCATCAATAATGCATAAATATGTCCTGCTCCTGCCTATTGCTTGACACGTTTTAGCATTCAAAGCCTTCATGGAGAAGGATAAGGTGGTTGTTCCTGTACTAATTGATCCCAAATGGCTCATGAACTTGGCATTTCTTTTTGACATTACACAGGAGCTGAATGTACTCAACATGAAATTACAAGACCAGGGGTATCTTGTGAGTTTTGCCCATGACAATGTCAGGGCATTCTGCACAAAACTTGTGTTATGGTTCTTAGAGAAACCTCTGCCGTTTCCCAACATGCAAAGTACTCAATAACTCGGGCACACCACTTTGTAGTAACTTAGTAGTAGGTATACTGATGCCATTGCAAAGCTATAGAAAGTATTTGATCACATTTTTTAGACTTCAAAACACAGACAGCCACTTTTCAGCTTTTTGCTGACCCTTTCTCCTTTAATGTGCAAGATTCCCCGCGTATGGAGGTGAATGGAAAAACAGACAAGCATGGACATTTTATTGTACTGCCCTCTACTTTCTCTGTAATGTCCACGTTGTTCAAGCGGATCATATGACTTTTTGGCAGTACCTATTTGTGTGAAAAGCTCTTTTCCACTATGCACTTTAACAAGTCAAAGTTCAGGGCCAAACTTACTGATGAGCATCTTCAAGCTATACTGAGGGTCTCAGTGGCTTCCTCACTCAAGCCAAAGTTGCTCAGCTGTGTAAAAAGAAGCGCTGCCAGGTCTCTGGCAATAGAGAGTAGGTCGAATAAAATGAAGCCTAGTTCTTGAGAACCATTAATATTTTTATTTGTAATTTATAAAGGTTGAGCAGATTGTAACAGTTTTACTTTCATGAATATTTAATCGCTTTTTGTGTGGAATACTTGATACGACCAAGTCTCAATCAGACTCTACCTCCTCCGGCCCCCGAATCATTTGAGTTTGAGACCCCCTGATCTAATGAATTCTTTGCTTTTTTACGATTTTAAGAAAAAAAGGTGGGGGGGGGGGGGCAAAAATTAATTCAAAATAGACTCTTGAGTGCCCTTTACTTGTGTAATATAATTACAATCTAGAATATATACCTACAATAATTATTGTGGCTCTATTAGAGCCAACCACCTAAATATATGTGATTAAGGCTATAAAAATATCACCAAAATGTTTCGCAGTTTTCGTCATAATAATGCTTTGTGTTTACATAAATAGCTGGCAAGATATCGCATATTATGAGCCTAGTAACAACACACTAGTCTTTCTGTGCTGGTGACGTAAATATTTCTTTAGGCACCAGGTCTCTTACAATTGTTGTTCTGACTGGTCTTGATTTAGAACCGCAAAAGACATGTAAATTGTCATAAATTGCCAAAATCATAAAAGTAAACAGGTCTGCAGTAGGCCTACTACATAATTATAATACGAACCCGTGATACATGCACACTCATGTTATTTCGTCAATAACAATGTTTATGGGGGGTGATTATGATGCATTTCAAGAAATGAATGGTTTGAAAAGGCCTAAGTTTGCTTAATTTAAAAAATAAAAATAATAATAATCGAAACTTTACCGCTGCCTAGGATTATGTAATATTATTCACCTTTGTCTATGACAACATTGATGGGCATGATAATGATACATTATAATTTATAAAAACAAATGAAGGAAATGAAGTTTCCAAATTTTATTTTTGGAAAAAAAATCCCAGGCTATGTGGATTTCGTCCTACGAAGCCCACTCCATCGTCACATTGTGACGGACGGATGCCAGCAAAAAAAAAAAAAAAAATATTACCATTCCTTTAGTTTTTCTTCCACAAAACTGTTTACATTTTTCTAGACCTAACTCAAATGTAATTTTATGGAAATATAAATCATCATGCAGCTGTGGGCAGCTTTCGCTGAGTATTAGTTATTTAACTTACAATGACAGCTAGACGTCGAGCACTAATGAATATCAGATTGTCGGCCTAGAGACAGACAGTCTGACTTCTGGTACATGATCGAAAACCTCAGTCACTTTCGCCCGAAACCGAAATTAAACCGTAAGTTAACGTTTCTCGTTCGGCCGAAACCGAAATTAAGACGAAAGTTAATTTTTCAGTTTCGGCCGAAACAGATCAAATGACCACTTTCGGTGCCTAAACCGGTCGGTCTCGGGTTCACAGTTCAAAAAGAGTGGAACAAGATGTGTTTGATATCAACAACAACAAAAAAAAAGGCAGGACTCATTTCATCAGTATAATTAATTCCAATGTCATTGATCTTGAACAATTTTTTTGATAAATTTTCATTCCAATAAGCTTTGTTCGTATGAGATTTGGAACATTGGAAGATTTAATTTAAGCGTTTTAAGAATTTGATAATACCATATATCTATACTAATAAAAGGCAAAGCCCTCACTCACTCACTCACTTACTCATCACTAATTCTCAAATTTCCCCAGTAGATGGCAGCCTGAAATTCGACATGCTTATTTCTTACAGCTCACTTACAAAAGTTAGGCATGTTTCAATTCCAAACTCTATACCGTTTGGGGCCGGGGGCCAAAATGTCATTTGTTTCCTATATGAGCTCTATAAAAAGAATGATCAAGATATACTGATACATAAATCGATGGATCTTGACCAAACTTAATCCACATCCTCTTGGTTATCCATATTCAAATACCCAAGGGAACCTAACGCATGATATCCATCCCTCTGATGCCCGGGGGGGGGGGGGGGGGGGGGGGGGGGGGTTGGAGGGATTTCATTTTTTCTTATTTGAGCTATATAAATATCAATAGGCTTAGTACTCCTACATGAATTGATGGATCTTGCCCAAAATTAGTACCCATATTCTTGA